GGGACATAGGCAAGTATATTAAGATCTGTAGAGCTTGTGGTGACATACTACATATGGTGTAATCAATATTATGAAAAAAGTAGCCAAAGGGTGCTGGGGAAGGTGTCCTAAACCAGAAAACCAGAAAGAAGAAGAGGAAAGACTGAAGAGAGCATAGGGATCAATAAAGAAGAGTGCATCCACACATCCCTTCAGCAAACTCATGCATTTCAGTGCAGCCAGAAGGAAGGCTATTAGTGAGATGAGCCCCAAATCATCTAAGAATCTTAGATGCTAAGAATCTTTACATCTTAGAAAACAGCCAAGTGAAGTGTAGAGGGGCAAAATCATTTTCCCTTCTTTGCTATGCTATTGCTATCAGGAACACAGCTGTAGAACATGTAGAAAGACTTTTCACATATACAGCAAAAACGAGTAGTTCTATTTTCTAGTATCCTCAGGGAAGAAGGTGTAGAAAGCCAAACCTCCAGAGTGCTATCATTTCTCCCTTGAAGTATCTGTAGCCACTTTGACTGGAAATCTTAAAAGTGTTCTATCCCCCCTCCCTTTCTTAAACAGATTTTACCAAACAGAATAGCACTGGAAGATGTCTAGCCTAACCCCAGCTCTGCCACTTAGTAAACTGTGTAATTCGGAGCAAGTCACTTTGATCGGCTGAGTCTTAGCTGCTGCCTCTTTTAATTGGGAAAAACATCTTTTGCCCTGCCTACTTCATAGGGGTTTCTATGAGAATTAAATGTGTGAAAGTATTCTGTAACATGTAAAATACCATATAAGTGTAAGTATTACTACAGTTTAAGAAAAGGTTAATGACCCAGGTATTGTAGGAACATCAATTATTTTACAGTTCGATGCCAGTGACACCCTCAGGGTCTATTAACAGGCTCTCAGCTCTAATACTAAGCCACAGACTAATATCTGCTTTTCAGTCTTCCCCTCTCCTCCCTTGCTAGCAGCTGCTAATACACCTTTAACCCAAATGTACTTCTTCTGATTTGCTGTTTCTCACACACTACTGAGTTCGAAGCTTATTATAATTGTGCATAAATTTTAGATGATTCAGAGGTCAGAGAGCCTCTCCTATAAATAAAATGATAAACCTTTGTGCACAGACTATGGAAATCTGGTTCAGCCATTTAGAGGCCTATTTGCTTACACGTTATACCTTCCAGGGCACTGCAATTACTGGATAAGTGGACTCCACATGTGAAGGGCTACTATATAAAAACCTCTTCATAATTTCTCCCACCACGACCAACTAAAAAGGTGATCCGTGATGGTTCTGGCTATATAGACCAGTCACCATCAGCACCTCTACTGGGAATGGAAATACAAGCATTTTCAAGTAGACTTTACTTTAAATAGATGGCTCTGTCCAACAAAAATAAATATTTTGCTACCATATACATGATTTTTGCATCCTAGGACAAATAAAGACCTGTTCTCAGATATAATTAGAAGTCAATCCTGACTTACCTCTGAGCTTCCCTGGTGGCTCAGATGGTAAAGAATTCGCCTGCAATGCAGGGGACCAGGGTTTGATCCCTGGGTTGAGAAGACTGCCTAGAGAAAGAAACGGCAACCCACTCCAGTATTCTTGCCTGGAGAAATCCCATGGACAGAGGAGCCTGGTGGGCTACAGTCCATGGGGTCGCAAAGAGTCAGTCAGGACTGAGCGACTAACACTTTCTTACCTCACAACCATGATGCAAGTAGTGACAAAACACAATGAACAGTGTTTAAAAATACCAAGTCCCACAGTCAAGAAAAATTTTTAGCCAGATTTCCTTTTTGCGCCAAAAATTGAAAATAGCCACAGCATAAGCAGTAAACAAGACAGGTAAAATCATTTGTTTCTTTCCTAAGCAGTGGTGCCTAGCACATCATCTCAAGAAAGAACAACATTTGAAAGTGTCTCCTCCAATCCCAACCACTAAGGATACTTACTCCTATACTTACCAAGGTGTGACGGCTAATGACAGTTGTACTATTCCTCCGAGCTCTAAACGCGTAAGGCTGAAAAACCTGTGAAAGGTCACTGAAAAGTAAAAAATAAAATGATTTATGTCTTCTCATATAAGATATCCTTCGGCTGTATGAATGCCAGTTCTCTGGTTAACACTGAAGTCTTCGATGGCCCCTCAACTCCTCACCGTCCTCTGCAGAACGTCCCCAGTGGTGTGCTGTGGAAGAGAGTCTGGCTGAGATACTGATCTCCTCTGGGCTGGGGGACAGCTAGAAGAGGTATGGGGCGGAGCTCCAGACTGGTTGCTTCCAGTTCCTTCTGGTCAGAACTCACGCCCCCAAACCAGTTACCACCAGATACCAGTAGCCTCATCTGTTTACCCCAGAGGACCTACCTGTAAATGTTACTGCCTATGTGTGCTGTCATGTGAGTAGGGCTGGGGAGCCCTGATGCCCAGTAGGAACCCTATCAGCACATCCCCTGCTATTGCCCTAAACACCTGTGCTATTCTGGAACCCTGCTATTCAACTACATCAACAGACCTGGAGATTTGCTCACATTGCCCTTTCTGCCTCAAATGCCCTACCTCCCACCACTCTCTGTCAAAACTCTTCCTATCCTTCAACAGCCATCTCAAATGCCAGACCCTCCACAAGCCTCTCTTCATTCCACAAACCTAATGCTACCATTCCCTTCTTTGTACCCAAAGAGTACGATGGGAAACCAGATGCTTCTTGAGACACCAACTTCACCTTTTATTAAAGAGAAGTGTGCATGTGTTTTAAACCCCCTGGGAGAGGTGTTCTGGTCACCCTTGCAGTCCTGAGCAGAGTGCCATGCCCAGGACAAGAGGTGAAGAAGGATTTTCAAGGCCGAACCGCATTGGGCTTCCAGGGATGGTGGAGATCACCTAACTCAGCTCTCTGAAATTTTAAATTAGAAAACAGAGACTCAGAAAGGCTAAGTGACTCATTCCTGATCATAGCCAGTTAGGGAGAAAATTGGGACTAGGCCTGGTCACCTCACTCTTTCTCCTGTCACATCATGCTACCTTTCAAATAATTACTTAAATCATGAAGCAAAAAAGCAGCCTGTTATTTCTACAACAGTCTAAATGCAGGTCAACAGGATCACCCTAGTCCCCAGCAACTGCTGGCTTACAAGATTCAAAAAAATACCAATTTATTTCTATAGTATCAAAAATAAATGTAGAGCCGAGGACACAATTAGGAAAGCAAAGAGTCACTTTATCATTCCCTCAATGTTGAAAAGACAAAAGGTAAGTCTGTTTTTTTCCCCAAAATAAGGATATCATAATCAGTTTGATAGACAAGGATTACCTTTCTCTTTGCCTTCACTGTGCTTGATTAGTGTTTTGGCTAATTCTACTCCCATCCCCCTTTTTTTGGAGTCATTCCATTTCTACAGGGTCTCACAAATTGACTTTAAAATGAATTGTCTAATTACAAAAGTGAAATGTAATAGGCTCAAGAGGTCTGCCAACGTAACCTTCACTATCACAAGAGTCTGCCTTAAAATAGACCCTCTGGTGACTTACTGGCAGGAAAACACAAGACCCTACCACTAAAATTCAAGGGTCAATTCTTTCCATTGTTTTTGAAAACCTGCACTTTCACTGACCTAAGCTACATGCCACCCTTCTTTTTTTTATTGACTGGAATGTGTTTCAGGCATTTTTAGGATCTGAAAACATTATGACAAACCTGAATCACTTAATAGGACATGAATGTGGCATTTAATTACAAGTTATTAGATAAACTGTAATTTATCGAAGTAAATCTCTGTTAACGCCAGGGTTCATAGACTAAGCTTAGAAATAGCAGCTCTTAGAGACAGGTGTCAAGTTGCAATCCTAGTTCCAGGGGCTTCAGTCTGACATTCGGTGGTGTAAATTAGGCAGGGCAAGCAACCTGTTAGAAGAGCCGGAATCCTGTTTTAGTTCCTTTGAGAGGGGCCAACAGAGCCCCAGGTAGAGAGAGCCCCATTTTCCCCACACTGCCCAGAGTTTAGGGTCAAACTTTCACTCCACCTTGGGACCCAAGTCACTGTCAAGCAGACAAGTCTCCACCCCCTCAGCGTGGAGAACTCATATGAGCTCCAACTCTCACTGGAGGAAAGGAAGACTGCTTGCAGCGGGTCGAGGAGATCCTGAACCCTGCACTCCATCCTCCCCAACCCTCCTCACCTGAGCCCATGGATCAGGGGAGCGCTGTTGGATCTCCTGAGAGTGCCCCCATCAGATGTGTCAGGCTCAAAGTCCAGCTCCATTTTCTCGTGAGCCATGTCGGAGACTTGCATGCAGCAGGCGGACCGTGCTCTGCTCCTGGTGCTTAGCTATGGACTCCCAAGACTCTCACTGCAGGACTGAGCTGCTGGGGACTGGCAGCTGGGGGCGGGGGCTAAGGGGCGGAGGCTTGGGGGCGGGAGCAGGGGCGGAGAAAAGCTGGAAAGGAGGAGGAGGGAAAGAGGATGAGGATGAGGATGATGAAGGGAAGCTGAGAGTGGGGGCGGGGAGGATGGAGAGGTGGTGGTGGTGGGTGACAGAATCAAGGAAGAGAGGAGGAAAGAGGGATGGAAGGAAGAGGGGAAAAGAGCAAGAGGGAGGGGAAAAGATAGACGGAAAAGCAGGAAGACAAAGAGGGTAAAGGAGGGGGACAGAAAGCGGAGAGGAAGAAGATAGAGGGAAAGGAGGGCAGGGTGGAGGGAAAAGAGGAGCACGGGAGCGAGGGAAAGAAGGACGGGGTTTGGGAAAGAGGAGACAGGACGAAGGGAGAAGACAGGGGAGGGGTGTAGAAACTAGGCAGCAGCGGAACTCATGCTGCTCTGTCGGCCAACGACCTCGAGAGGGGCCGTGCTACAGATACCCGAGCTGCCCGGGAAGCAGTAGCACCGAGGAGCTGACAGTCGGGCAGGGCCCGGCCGGGCGGCCTCGGCGGCTCCGGCTCCCCATGCTTGGGGAGCCGGTCCAGCCCTTCATGCTCCGTGACCCGGTTCCGGAGGCTCCTCAGCCCTGCTATCGGAGCTGCTCCCCCTCCTCGCCCCCCCTCCCTGCCTGGAAGACAGGTCGGGGGTTTGGCCAGCCGCCGCCGCTGTGCCTGCTTTTCCTTTCTTGGGTTCTAAAGGCCCTGGGGAACCCCTCGGGGCCAAGACCGATATCTACAACCTGCAGCCTTTCACTCCTCCCACGCTTCCGAAGCGGGAACCTCTGCAAAGCCAGGTCTTCCGCGTCCGGGCAGCCTTTGGGTCCTGCGCACGCGCCCAGAAGGGCGCCAATGGGGCCGCGGGCACGGAGCATGCGTGGGAGCCCCGCCCCGCAAACTTCCTTCAAAGGGGAGGAGCGTTTCCAGGGAGCAGGGCGCTTTTCTCCTCTGCATTGGTCCCGGGAACCTGGCGCCGGATTTTGAAAAGAACCAATCCTTTGGAGACACTGGAGCATCGTCTTTCTGGAGGAGTTTGGGCCAGTATTCAAGAGAAAAAAGAAACACGTGATTTCCACGTTTTTTCGTTCCCAATTTGTATGCCCTGACTTCTGTGATCCCCACTCATTTCTTAAATCCCTCGACCTTGTCGGTATTTATCTGGAGCAGATTTGTTAGATCATCCATTTGGGTGCACTAGACCAAAGGAAGTGAATGGACAAAAGCAATGGGGTAAAAATAAAGAGAATCCAATGAGAGTTCCTATAGTTAATGAGAAGCACTCACCTCCATTATGCAGTATATCAGGGAAAGTCCTGAAGAACCGTAACAGAACCATAATTTCTTTTTTTCTTTCTAGGCTTTATGGAGACTAACAGTCATGATTCAGCTTATGTGAGACCCGGAATCAAACTTATTTTATTAAACACCTACATAGCAGTTATTGTGTACTAGGCAATATTCTAAGAGCTTTAGAAATATTAACTCATTGAATCCTCACCACTTGAAGGACCCTGGGAGAGAGATGAACACTGTACTGTGTTAATCATACATACCTAGAAAGTACAGGAAACTTAAAAAGGAAATTAGAAAAAAGAAAAATTATCTTTTGCAGAAATAATTTTATGAACTTCTTCAACTTAGTTGTACCATATTAAACTTGCCAAGCTCAATTGTCATTTTATTCTTCAATGCTTATATGTTATGTTCATAAAATGGGAGTTTTTAAACCACTTTTAGATAGTTTCCTTTATTTCTAAAATTTTATTATTAGTACAATTGCCTTACAATGTGTTAGTTTCTGCTGTACAACAAAGTGAATCAGTTATAGTTATACATACATTCCCTCCCTCTTAGGACTTCCCTGATGGCACAGTGGATAGGAATCTGCCTGCCAGTGCAAGGGACACGGGTTTGATCCTTGGTCCGGGAAGATCCCACATGCCACAGGGCAAGTAAATCCATGCAGCACAACTACTGAGCCCATGCTCCGCCACAGGAGAAGCCACTGCAACGAGAATTCCCTGCACCACAACCAGAGAGCAGCCCCTGCTCACCACAACTAGAGAAAGCCCTCCTGAAGCAACGAAGTCCCAGCATAACCAAAAATAAATAGATAAGAATAAGTAACCAGAAAAAGATTCCCTCCCTCTTGAGTCCCCCTCTGGGTTATCATAGAGCACCAACCTGAGCTCCCTGTGCTATGCAGCAGCTTCCCACTAGCTATTTTACACATGGTAGTGTCCAATATGCTACTGGGGAAGAGTGGAGGAGAACGACTAATAGCTCCAGAAAGAATGAAGCGGCTGAGCCAAAGTGGAAACGACACTCAGTTGTGGATGCATCTGGTGATAAAAGTAAAATCCAATGCTGCAAAGAACAGTGTTGCATAGGAACCTGGAATGTTAGGTCTATGAATTAAGGTAAATTGGATGTGGTCAAGCAGGAGATGGTAAGGATAAACATCAACTTTTTAGTAGGAATTAGTGAGCTAAAATGGATGGGAATGGGCAAATTTAATTCAGGTGATCATTATATCTAGTACTGTGGGCAAGAATCCCATAGAAGAAATGGAGTAGCCCTCATAATCAACAAGAGCCCAAAATGCAGTACTTGGGTGCAACCTCAAAAATGACAGAATGATTTCAATTTGTTTCCAAGGCAAGCCATTCAACATCACAGTAATTCAAGTCTATGCCCCTACCACAAGAAGCTGAAATTAATCAGTTCTATGAAGACCTAGAAGACTGCATAGAACTAATACCAAAGGAAAAAAAAAAGATGTTCTATTCATCATTGGGCATTGGAATGCAAAAGTAGGAAGTCAAGAGACACCTGTAGTAACAGGCAAGTTTGGCTTTGAAGAACAAAATGAATCGGGGCAAAGCCTAACTGAATTCTGCCAAAAGAATGCACTGGTCATAGCAAATGTTCTTTTTCAACAACACAAGAGACAACTTTACACATAGACATCACCAAATGGTCAGTACCAAAATCAAATTGATTACATTCTTTGTAGCCAAAGATGGAGAAGCTGTATGCAGTCAGCAAAAACTGTGGCTCAGATAATCAGCTTCTCATAGCAAAATTCAGGCTTAAACTAAAGCAGGGAAAACCATGAGGCCAGCCAGGTACGACTTTAATCATATCCCCCGTGAGTATGCAGTGGAGGTAATGAATAGATTCAAGGGATTAAATCTAGTTAACAGTGTGCCTGAAGAACTATGAACGGAGGTCCATAATATTGTACAGGAGACCGAACAAAACCATCCCAAAGAAAAAGAAAAGCAAGAGGGCAAAGTGGTTATCTGAGGAGGCTTTACAAATAGGTGAAGAAAGAAGAGAAGTGAAAAGCAAGAGAGAAAGGGAAAGGTACATCCAACTAAATGCCGAGTTCCAAAGAACAGCACAGAGAAGGCTTTCTTCCATGAACAGTGCATAAAACTAGAATAAAACAACAGAAGGGGAAAGACTAGAGATCCCTTCAGGAAAACTGGAAATATCAAGGGAACATTTCACCCAAAGATGGGCACAATAAAGGACAGAAATGGTAGAGACCTAATAGATGCCAAAGAGATCAAGAAGAGATGGAAAGAATACACAGAAGAGCTGTACAAAAAAGATTTTAATGTACTGGATTGATTAAAGATTTAATGTACTGACTGGTGTTGTCAGTCACCAAGAGCCAGACATTCTGGAGTCAAGTGGGCCTTAGGAAATAAAGCTAGTGGATGCAATGGAATTCCTGTAGAGCTATTCAAAACCCTAAAGGATGATGCCATCAAGGTGTTGCATTCAATATGTCAGCAAATCTGGAAGACCCAGCAGTGGCCACAGGACTGGAAAAGGTCAATCCTCATCCCAGTTCCCAGGAAAGGTAGTGCTAAAGAATGTGCTAACCATTGAACAATTGCACTCATCTCCAATGCTAGTAAGGCCATGCTTAAATCTTGCATCTGAGCTTCAGCATTATACGAACCAGGAACTTCCAGATGTCCAAGCTGGGTTTAGGAAAGGCAGAGGAACCAGAGATGAGATTGCCAACATTCGCTGGATCATAGAGAAAGCCAGGTAATTCCAGAAAAACATATACCTTTGTTTCATTGACTATGCTAAAGCCTTTGACTGTGAGGATCATAACAAACTGTGGAAATCTCTTATAGAGATGGGAATACCAGGCTTTCTTACCTGTCTCCTGAGAAACCTGTATGTATGTGGGTCAAGAAGCAACAGTTAGAACCCTGTATGGAACAACTGATTGGTTCAAGATTGAAAAAGGAGAACGACAGGACTGTCTGCTGTTACCCTGTGGGTTTAACCTATACACTGAACACATTATGAGAAATGCTGGGCTGGATGAGTTACAAGCTGGAATCAAGATAGGTGGGACAAACATCAACAACCTCAGATGTGTGTGTGTGTGTGTGTGTGTGTTAGTCGCTCAGTCATGTCCTATTCTTTGCAACCTGATAGACTGTAGCCTGCCACGCGCCTCTGTCCATGGAATTCTCCAGGCAAGAATATTGGTTTGGGTTGTCATTCCCTCTCCAGGGGATCTTCTCGACCCAGGAATAGAACCCTGGTTTCCTAAATTGCAGGCAGGTATGCAGATGATACCACTCTAATGGCAGAAAGTAGAGAGGAACTAAAGAGCCTCTTGATGAGGGTCGAGGAGGAGAGTGAAAGAACTGGCTTAAAACTAAATATTAAAAAAACTAAGATCATGGCATCCACCCCCATTACTTCATGGCAAATAGAAGGGGGAAAGGTGGAAGTAGTGACAGATTTCCTCTTCTTGGGCTCCAAAAACACTGCGGATGGTGACTGCAGCCATGAAATCAAAAGACAATTGCTTCATGGCAGGACAGCTATGACAAACCTAGACAGTGTGTTTAAAAGCAGAGACATTACTCAGCTGACAAAGGTCATGGTGAATATTCATTGGAAGGACTGATGCTCAAGCTGAAGCTCCAAAACTTTGGCCACCTGATGCAAAGACCTGACTCATTGGAAAACACCCTGATGCTGGGAAAGATTGAAGGCAGGAGGAGAAGGGGATGACAAATGATGAGATGGTTGGATGGCATCACTGATGCAATGGACATGAGTTTGAACAAACTCCAGGAGATGGTGAAGTACAGAGAAGCCTGGCATTCTGTAGTCCATGGGGTCGCAAATAGTTGGACACCACTGAGCAACTGAAGAACAATGGTCTTCCCAGTGGTCATGTACAGGTGTGAGAGCTAGACAGTAAAGAAGACAGAATGCCAAAGAATTGATGCTTTCAATCTTTGGTGCTGGAGAAGACTCCTGAAAGTCCCTTGGACAGCAAGGAGATCAAACCAGTCAATCTTAAGGAAAATCAACCCTGAATACTTGTCGGAAGGACTGATACTGAGGATAAAGTTCCAGTGTTTTGGTCATCTGATGCAAACAGCTAACTCATTTCCCAGATGCTGGGAAAAATTGAGGGCAGAAGGAGAAGAGGGTGTCAGAGGATGTGATGGCTGGATGTATCACTGATGCAACGGACATGAACTTGGTCAAACTTTAGGAGATGGTGAGGGACTGGGAGACCTGGTATGCTGCAGTCCATGGGGTCACAAAGAGTCAGACAGGACTGGGCGACTGAACAACAGTGTACATATGTCAATGCTACTCTTCCAGTTCATCCCACCCTCCCCTTCCTAACCCCACCATATCCACATGTCCAGTACATCTGCATCACTATTACTTCCCCCCAAAATAGGTTAATCTGTATTATTTTTCTAGATTCCATGTGTGTGTTAAGTCACTTCAGTCATGTCCAACTCTTTGTGACCCTATGGACTGTAGCCTTCCAGGCTCCTCCATCCATGGGATTTTCCAGGCAAGAATA